TAAGATGACTATCCAGTCAGACGAAGGATTTTTTGCTTAAATGCTTCATGCTGACGTTTGTATGTTGAGTGTTTTTCCTTCGTGTCTGCTGACCGATTTGCATTTAGTGGTAATGCAAAAAAAAGTTTCGAACAGCGTTAGCAGTAATGCACACTCACACACACACGCAATGATGGAATAAAATAAATGGCAATTGGGTGATAAAACGAGATTAATTGTGCAGCTAAGCCCTATCAACAAGGCCCATAATGATTTGTGTCATATGGTGTTGAGCCCTCGAAAATATCACTCAAAAGCACACATTCGCTAATCTCTTTACACCACATTAAGCTAACCACTTTGGAATGGCCGCATAAAACCTGTGAAACGATCACAAAAACGAAACAATCTGCGAGGAATGTGGTCAGCAGAAGAACAATTGACATCTAAACGATCAATAACGCCCAAATAAAAGCATCATTTCACACGAGATGACATGCAACTAGGCAACTTTCGACAGTCGCTTCATTGCTTCACAAAATTCTTCATCGATCCCCTTCGGAATATTCGACGCACCCATAGCATGCTCGTAGATTCTACGCGCAGTATTCAGCTCATTTTGCCAAAACACTTTCGATATTTCCNTATATAGATATTTGTTTGCATGCAACAACAACGAAGCAACAAAGGATGCAACTCTTGGTCGTCGCATATTCAGATCAATCAGATTGGACCACATTTGTTGCGAACATTTTAGGTTTTTTTCGAGGAGTCACTGGAATGGTGCGACATTAAACTCTTTGAAAAATCTACGCTCAGTCGATCGTTTCGCCTAGATAATCTCATATTCAATGATCAACAAATTTTTTTCGCACCGTTGTCGTCAGATATTCAGCTCACACGATCTTCCTATCCATCATATATCCTTAAGCAGATCCAACCATAAAATAATTTTGGTGCAAAAAAACAACATGTCACCTCCAGTTGCATGGCAGCTTCCTGGGGAATAAGACCAATCGGTGTGATGACTGCGGTGTTCTTCTCATCAGCTGTTAGCCTTCGAATGATCCAATCAAAAATGCGAATATTATCACCATACCCAGGCCATTCATAAGTGTTATCGGATCGCTTCAGGAATAAGTTCATGAAGAAAATTTTCGGAAGCTGAAACAAAAACTCTCCTCAAATGAATAGAATGGGATGTCTAATGAATTAATCCAGGTTGCGATTTCAGCTGATTTTTCGTAAGTCACAGGACATCAACTGCTGAATTTTCGCTGTCTATCAAATCCGCATGAACTCGGAGACGACATAGCATTTTTTGTGTCAACATTGATGAGTTGAATAACTGAATGGCAGTTGATCAAAAACCATCAAGGACAACTGCTGAGCAA